TTTAGTAAGTTACATGAATAGACTGGAGAGATGGCTGAGTGGTTTGCAGCCCTGACTCCCCTTTCAAAGGACATAGGCTCAAGTTCCATCACCCTCATGGCAGCCCACAACTGTCTGTAACTCCAGTTCCAGAGCTTCTGACATTCTCACACAGACAGACAGACAGACATGCAGTCAAAACACCAATTGAACATGAAGTAAAAATAAATTATATGAAAATCTTGTATCAATGTGATTGCTCTATCCAAATATATCTGAAAATATGTTTAGTTTTCTCACTGGAAGCACTAGACAGATCTCCTTGTGCATTTTCTATGTTGCCCAGGATCGCTGTAATCACGCGTCAACACCTACTAAGCAGTGCAAAATCTTAGGTAGTGCAGTCACTGCAGGGCCGTGATGTCCTACATGTTAACTGAGGTGGCTACTTCGTGCCCAGCAGAAGAATGTACAATACAGAATGTCTCATATACACCGCAGTAGGAGATGCCTTGTGGAGCAGGGCACAGTATGCTGGCAGGAGATTTTAGCATCCTCCTGAGAACGGCATCTAAGTTAAAACGTATAAATTGTTTATTTCTAGAATTTCATACTTCTTCCCCCTAGATTATGGTTTTCTGACTGAGGTATAATAGCACCTACTTATCCAAAGCCATTTATCAAATGGAAAATTATTCTTTGATTTGGAAATTATCAAAGAATGTTTCCCTTATCTGTGGATGCATGTATTACACAATCAAAGACAAATGACTCTTATAGTCTCTGTTATTTTGTTTTAATTATCTATTCATCTTTTCTCCGTGTTTGTGGGCTGAATGTTCCTGTTATTTCTTGTTTTTTCTTAACTTATAAAATTTGTTTGTTGACCATTTTATATTCCATTAATAAAATTATACTTATATATATTACATTCTTTTTATTCTCACTCTCCACTTGTTATTTTCCTCCCTTCCCTTACCACCCTTTCCTTCTTAATGTCCCCTTTTCACATCCATCCCTTTTCAGTGTTGTTTTATGACCGATTTTACCCAGGATCACCTCTGTGTCCATGTGTACAGAATTACCCATTGAAGCCCGATGGCGTAACAATTTGGTGAACAATGAAGGTGACTGTCCCTCTCCCAGAATCCAAGGTTTTAAAAATTCGGCAGTCAGAGGTGGGGCTCTGTGAGGCTTCTGACAGAGCCAGTCTTCCTCAGGCCCAGTGCAGGTGACTGCGCTGCAGTCACGTTTGTAATCCCTGTCCTGTGCTGAAGATGGCATTTCGGGCGCCGCCCACCCTGCCTCTTGAATTCCTTCTTGACACTGTTCTGAAACGTCCTCTGAGCCTTATCAGATTGAGGACTGCTGCGTATTCAGGAATGCATGGGTGGTACTGCACACCTGGTCATAGCCCCCCACGTCTACTACAGAGTTAAATCGCCTTGGCACCAAACTATAGTCTGAATATTTGTGTTTATATCCATAGAAGCTACTTTTGTCATTAGAGAAATGTGTCTTTCCAGTGAACTGTACTGAATGTGGAGCCAATGAATGCACAAGGAATTTAGAATACATGACCTATGAGTTCTCAGCCCCAAACTGGGCAGTCATTTCTTATTTCCTGTTTATGGCCCATTACTATTGGAGGCCTCAGGAGCTAAATAATACTAGAGATTGATCCATTTATGGCAGTACTGTTCTCACATATATGCTTAAAAGATGCAGTTGCCTATTTCATATTAACTATTGAGAAACTGAGATAAGGTAACTGCGATCTAAAAGCCACAAAGATTTGGTATACTTCATTACATTATATTTGCATTTGAAACTTTTATGAACATTCAGCAAAGCAACAGTTCTTTGCATTACTTGGCAGAAATATCTCATCTGAAGCCAACATTCACAAGTAATAAACACAGTAAAGAGGAAACTCTTTAAAAATATAGCACATTTTTCTAGTACAGGCTGGACCTGTTGCTGAGGATGTCACACTGTGGAGAAGTTGTTGCTTGTTGTCATTGACTCAAGATTACAGAATGACATGTAACAGCTTTGGGGACGTTTGAAGCACACCTTATCCAGATATGTGAGAAAACACCCATTTGTGGGGTTTACATAATGCCTGGAAAACAAGCTTTGCTTTGATCATTGATTGAACTCTTTCTAGTACTTTAGAAGTTGAACGGGAATGGTGATCATTTAGAAATTAAGACTGACTGTGAAGTAATTCTGCATTCTTAAGTAAATGTGAAAGTATCTCAGATGAAGACTTACTATAATCCACAGTGAAGTTCCTGTGGGCAGGAATATCAGACATTGGCCTATATCCCAAGGTTTGTCCCTGGTTACTCTTTCTGTGAAAATTTTGCTACCTGAGACTCAGTCTGTTTTATTTTGCTCTGATAATCCCTCCCCTGTTTAGTTTGGGAGCCATTCATATCCTTGTAAAGTTTTCTATTTGTTTATACATTTCTTCTCTTTGTAAGTTTGGCATTCACCCACATCTGGATCCTTTCTTCCAGTGTTGTCTCTGCTCACATGCTGTTAGTCTGCTGAGATATGCCAGTGTCCTGAAAATGGGTGGGGATCTGTGAACTGGATTGACCTGCCGTTCTTCATGGCCAGTTTCTGACACCAAACTTTCTCTTATTCTGCACTATTTATACTTGGATTAACATTCATAAATTAGCTCTGCCTCACGTTCATTAATACACTGTCATTTTGTCTGAGAAAGCGCCAGATTGACTTCCGAAGTGGTTGTACCAGTTTACATTCCCACTAGCAATGGAGGAGGGTTCCCCTTTCTCCACAACCTCTTCAGCATGTGTTGTCACTTGAGTTATTCATCTTAGCCATTCTGATGGGTATAAGGTGAAATCTCAGGGTCATTTTGATTTGCATCTCGCTGGTGGCTAAGGATGTTGAGCATCTCTTTAAGTGTTTCTCTGTCAGTCTATATTCCTCTACAAAGAATTCTCTGTTTAGCTCTGTACCCCATTTTTTAATTGGATTCCTTGATTTATTACTTTTTAACTTCTTTAGTTCTTTATATATGCGGGATATCAGCCCTCTGTCAGATATAGGGTTGGTGAAGATTTTTTCCCAATCTGTACGTAGTTGTTCTGTTCTGATGACAGTGTCATTTGCTTTACAGAAGCTTTTCAGTTTTATAAGGTCCCATTTATTGATTGTTGATCTTAGAGTCTGTGCTGTTGGTATTCTGTTCAGGAAGTTGTCTCCTGTGCCAATGAGTTCTAGGCTGTTCCCCACTTTTTCTTCTAACAGATTTAGAGTATCTGGTTTTATGTTGAGGTTTTTGATCCACTTGGACTTTAGTTTTGTGCAGAGTGATAAATATGGATCTATTTTCATTTTTCTGCATGTAGACATTCAGTTGGACCAGAACCATTTGTTGAAGATGCTGTCTTTTTTCCATTGAATGGTTTTGGCTTCTTTGTCAAAAATCAAGTATTCATAGGTGTGTGGGTTTATTTCTGGGTCTTCTATGCGGTTCCATTGATCCTCCTTTCTGTTTTTATGCCAGTTGCATAGGATGGGAATTGCGTTGAATCTGTAGAATAGTCTTACATTTCATTTTTATTTTACTTTATCTCTGTTGTCTTATTCCTGAACTCCTTGCTCACAGGTTGTCCTACCATCATAAACAAGCATCTCAATTCTGTCCCCTCTCCTCCGTGCTAATTATCCCGAAGTGGTTTTCCGCTGCTTCTGTAATTCAGAGTAATCAGTGGATGTTGTGTGTCCATATTTCTCATAATTTCCTTGTAAGTTCAAAAGTATCAACATTCTCCTCTTTAATTCTTAAGCATTTGAACTGATGTTGGCTCCTGCTGCTTTTGTTCTTGTGTTGTGCTTACACAGCATCCTGCTCTGCCCTTCTCACATTGTTCTTCATTCTTAAGATCTATCACACATCTCCTCTTTTTATGGTGCCAAATGCAGTTGTGTAGGAGTTGAGCTAATTTTTGTTACAATTTTAGCACTACATTTCTCAATGACCTTCAGCAAATCACTTCCCTCAGCTGAATGGACTCATTTATTATTTGATACCATTTGTATGACATTTATTCCAGTGTGTACTCCATTATCTGTTCAAATCTAACTTGCCTTATTGTCTTGGTTGCTCCTTGGAGACTATGTTATATTTCTGTGCCCCAGTGTGGTGTATGGTACATGGTTGAAGGTCACTTAGCTTTTATGGAAGGAATGTGAATATTGTGTTTTACTTTGCCAACTGAGTTACAAAGCATTATTTTAAGTTATAAAGAATTATTTCTGAGTATTTCTCGATTTAACTCACCAGTTTGGTAGTGATGTTACTTTCTTCTGTACTCATCATTCTAATGGAGCTCTGATCAAGTACCCAGACAGACAACCAAAGAAAGAAAGGCCTTGTCTCAGGGTTTTAGAGAGTACCTAGCAGCTTGGTCTCAGATATTTGGAAAGGTCTGGCTAGAGGTGTATGTAGAATAGAAGGTTCCTCACTCACTTACAGAGAACAAGCAGAGAAGAAGAAAAGCATTTGTTGGAGTTTGTGTTCTTCAAAAGAAGTCCTCTTTGTGGAACTACTTTTTCTAACCCTGACCCAAGTATCATTACCAACTGGGGGTTAGAGCTCAAAACAGGACCCAAATGGAAATATTTTATTATAAAATTGTGGAAAAAAAAATTCTCCTGAATCATCTAAAATTGTTTCTCAGGACTGAATAAAGTCATAGGTCTCCTGGAGTTCTTTCTAAAGTGCAGTCTTCCTTGGGACTAGAATGGAGCCTGAGATTGGCATTTCTTGTGTGATCCTAGAAGAAGCTCGTGTGCTGGGCCCAGTGCATCTACATAGTCTTCCTGTTTTGTTAAGTTTTGACTCTTGCCTCTGCGGACAGCAGAATTTATGCTGCAGTTGTGGTAAAGACTTTGTTTGTTACTTGTTTCAAAGTAAGAGGATCTCAAGTTGATGTTCTATGGACGTGTGTCTTAGGTGTTTTCTCTTCTAATTTCAGAAGACAGAAATGATTGGATCAGCATATTGCTAAGTGCACTGAAGTCACCGTCCCTTACCACACAGCTGCAAGCAGCTGTGGCACCGGAGAAATGTGGATATCTTGAATTGAGAGGATATAAAGCCAAAATTTTTACTGTATTGAGGGGAAACAGTGTGTGGCTTTGCAAAAATGAGCAGGTAAGCTTTGTTACATTAACTGTGAATCAACTCTTTGATTATAGCAATTGTACTTAGCTTTTGAGAACTACTTGTATTTTTATTTATAGTCTTGCTTTTGTTTAAAATACTAACAGAAACAAAGAAAATCTGGTTAAATACTTTTGTTTCAAAAGCTATCTCCTTCAGACAGGCTGCATGTCAGCTTTCTGGTAGGCTGAGGAAGTGGAATGTATGCCTGAGTGTAAGAAACATTGCTGTTAGAGAATAATGAAGAGTTTACAGAGGTTGTTGGATGAGGCCAATCTCGTACCTTTGTAACAGAAAGTTAGGAAAAAATAACAAGTAATCGGGTGTATTTCCTGTTGCTGATAGAACACCATTACCAAGGCAACCTATGGAAGAAGAACTTGGTATTGGCTAAGGTCTCTAGAATAAATACAAGTCTACCCTGGCCGAGTAGCAGGGCAGTAAGAATGGGAAGCTGAGGTCACACATCTGCAGCCACAGCTGTGGGCACAAGTCAGAGAGAGTGGATGGGAATGACTAGGATTAAAGCTCTCAGGCCCCACCCCAGCGGCACCCTTCTTTTAGCACGGTATGCCTCTCATACCTCCCAAGTTAGTGTTACTGACCAAAGACCAAACATTCAAAAATCCGAGCCTATGGTGGACATTGAAACCACTCCACCAGGTTTTATTATCCTTGTTTTGTCTTTGAACAGATATTCTATTTGCCATGTAACTGCTTTGGTAACAGAGGCCCATTATAGAGAGGTGGGTATAGTGATATGTAGGTAGATATACTTACAACCATATCAAAACACCTATCTACCTGTTTATATCTCATACATACATAGAATGTATGACAGTTAAAGCTCATATACATATACATATATATATCTATTAGATTAACTGTTAGATTATTGAATTTGGTTAAAACGCTGAAGAGAGAGTTTAAATGTTTTTGGAGACTTGCCGATCAAGTATTTCTGTCTTGTGGGCTTTATACTTGATTTTGTAGTGCAGACTTCCTCTTCTCTACTAGTCTTTTGTATGTAAAAATTAATCTTTCTCATTAGATATTTAAGTCAATTTGAGAATAAAATAGTGAAGTTTGAATATCTAATCTAAGATGAATTCATTCTATAATGGATTATGGTAAGGTATAAATATTTTGACTCTTTTTCTATCAAAAATAGTGTTATCAACTTAAAACAAGCAGTAGGCAAAAAAATAAAAGAAAATAAAACGACAGCTCTTTAGCTAAGGCATCCTGCACTTCTGTGTGAATGTATTCATTATTATTTGTCTTTTTGATATGTTAGCCAATTAACTGTGGAAGACATCACTTAGTAACATCTGCAAACTAATAATGTGAATATTTAGCATATTCCGAAAAGAATAGCGACTTTCTGCTTAACAGTGTATGTGAACTGGATGTGAACATTGTTTCTGAAGTCTCTGAAGTTAGGTGATTAAAACTTTTCTCATTAGAATTCAGGTTAAAGACTAATAATTTGCATGTGTCTCTGCTGAAGTTACTCTGCCAAACTGAGGAATTCATTTTTTACTTGCATAGACCCAGTATAATTCCTATTATTCGTCTCGTTGCTCACATTAGCTAGATTATCTGAGCTTGTGTTATTTTCTAGAAATAATATGTATTTCAAGTTTTATTAACATTTTGAGAGAAGGAAAGTTTTACATGAAATCACTGCTTTGGTGACAGTTTCTGAATGCGAAGTCTAAAATGCTTGTCTCTGCGTGGGTGCCAAGTACTCGGCCCATCAATTTATAAATGCTCCTTCTTAATCTTTCCTAGGATCATCTGTGTATTAAAGATGAGCAACACAAGGTTTACAGAATTTGTACGGGGCTAATGGTTTCATCATGCCAAGTCTAGTTTAAAACTAGAGGTTTTTGTTTTTTGTTTTTTTAACTGTAGACTTGGCGTCTTACTAAAGGATTGGTTTAAATCGTTTTTGAGTTCCCACCTCTAAGAAACAAGCAGGAATTAGATGTGAGACTAGTTACATTTACGTAGGAACTTCAGGTCACGCGGTCAGCTACTGTTGGTCAGGACTGGAGAGTACGGCTGTGCACTCTCACGGGCATGCTCTTTCGGCAGTTTTATCTGCAAGGGGGAAATGACAGAGACTCCAGCTGCAGGTGGTGAGCTCAGTGCTTTTGTTGCCTGCTTGCTTGTTTCGCGTTTTCCGGACAGGTTTCCTGTAGCAGGTAACCTTGAATTCACGGTCCTCCTGCCTCTTCCTTCCCCTTGTTGAGATTAAAGACTATAGGGAGGTTCAAAACACGGGCATCAAGGGAGGTTGACAGAAATACTTCCACTTACACAAGTATTGAATAAATTATTTAAAAAAATCAAAATAGTAAATCTGAAATAGCACCATCTTTATATATTTTTAAAGTAAACATTTTAATAAATGTTTAAGTTTTTTCTTTTTTTTTAATTACACTTTATTCATTTTGTATCCCCCCATAAGCCCCTCCCTCCTCCCCTGCCGATCCCGCCCTCCCTCCCCTTTCTGCATCTCCCCTCCCCAAGTCCACTGATAGGGGAGGTTCTCCTCTTCTTTCTGATCTTAGTCTATCAGTTCTCATCAAAAGTGGCTGCATTGTCCTCTACTGTGGCCTGGTAAGGCTGCTCCCCCCTCAGGGGGAAGTGATCAACGAGCAGGCCAATCAGATTATGTCGAGGTACCTAAATAGATTGTGTGTGTGTGTGTGTGTGTGTGTGTGTGTGTGTGTAGTGTTTGCATCATTTTACGTAGAATCCCGACTGGCGGACAAGTTGAGCAAACCACATGTGTTTTGGCTCCCACAGTTTTTTATTCCTGTTTTTTATGCATGTTTATTTGCGTATTTGCCCCAAGAACAGGTATCTGCTGCTATTCTCATATGGGGAAGTCCCTGACAGGAAGGCTGTCCTGTCCTGCTGAGATAGTACAGTCTTTCTCCTCAACACACACACAGCTTCACCCAAAGTGAGGACATTGGCCAGCTTTAGGGAAGCACTGGGTGATGGTGGTATATTTTGATGTAAACACACTCTCTTTCTCTCTCTCTCTCTCTCTCTCTCTCTCTCTCTCTCTCTCACACACACACACACACTCATTTACACCAGTATCTTATCTTTCAAAGGTTATAAAACAAACATATTCATTTAAAAGTATGAGATGCTTATATTTGGACTTTTGTATCTTAATTGTGTTGATCTATGTAATAGCTATATAGCAAAACATAACTTTTATTGTTTGTAATCAGTGAATTAACTGCACATGTAATTTCCTATGTCTTAAAAATAGACTGACCTTTACCACTCTAACCCAGCAATTATATTCAGCTTTCTTTCCATTAATGGATTCATAGATCTATTAATTTGATGATTATTCCTGTGAGAGTGAACAGACAGTGGATGGAGGGCAGGTCTGGCCATTACAGAGAAATTGCATTCACTTAACCACATGGATTAAGACAGTAAGGCCGCAGCTTGCTCTGCGATGACTATCTCAGGTCGTGCATTTCTTCCAGTTAACTAGTCTCATTGTGAAGGCAGGCAGATCACTGTCTCCAAAGCTGACATTACATTGTTAAGATTTCAGATTTCTGATCCTATTCCAGATTCGTTGACAGAACCTTTGGGATGTGTGGTAGATATGTGTTTGTGAAAGTACCACATTTGGTTCAGTGGTACGTGAGTCCAAAACCACTCTATGAAATGCTGTGCAGGTTTTTTTCTTCTTCCTCCTCCTCCTCCTCCCTTCTTCTTTTTCTTTCTTCTTTTTCTTCCTTCTTTCTCCTTCTTCTTTCTTCCTTCATCTTCTTCCTCTTCCTCCTCCTCCTCCTTCTTCTTTTTCCAAAGTGATAGGCATCCAGCTAAAGGGAGGATGAAAGTCCTGGAGTTGGAAAGTGTACGAAACTTCCCTTCAGCAAGGCTAACAGCAGTGGGTCTTTCATTCACTCCTGGGAGATATACACTTTTTTTTTTTTTTTTTTTTTTTTTTACTATTAATCTATTTAGAAGAATAACCTTTTCTGAGTTGAACATTTTTGCAACATTCATGCATGATCTGACACATATTTTAGTAAGAATTATGAAAATCATTGTTGTTGTCTGGTTTTAGATTCAGATGTATTGTTCATAAGTCACTGCACAGAATCCTGAAAGTGTCCAACTTGTGCTTTGTTATTTTTACACACGGACTGAAATGTCAGTGATGCACACTATATTTAAAATGGTTAGCCTTCCTTGAAATTTTGCCTTACTGCATTCTTTTCCTTTAAATGTAGAGTCGTATTATCAGAGTGACTTCCTCCAAAGGTTTAATAAACAAAACAAAACAAAGCTCCAATTGCATCATTAGAATTTAGGAAAAGGGAAAGCCATGAGAGAGTGTTCATATTTTTGATACCGTGAGTTGTTGCTGTTAGTTAGTTTGTTTGTTTTTAATTCGGTATGGCCAGACTGTCCTCTGTTTGGAATATGGCTCTGTATCTGTCCAGAGCCTTTCCTCTGGTCTGCAAAGATGCTCTCTCAGTGTCAGACTACCTACAGATATATCTTAGTAACTTCTTTTATTGTGGTTGCTTTCTGAATAGGTCTTTAGTACTAAGACAAGAACATGCATTCACTCACTTAAATCCACCAGGAACTCACTTTTGCCACCAACACTTTTATGGTTTTTGAAATTCCCTCTTGTTCTTTTTTTCTATATTTTTATTTATGTTTTTATTAATTGCAGTTTATTCACTTTGTATCCCAGATATAGCCCCCTCCCTCATCTCTACCCAATGCCACCCTCCCTCCCTCATCTCCCATGCCCCTCCTTAAGTCTACCGATAGGGGAGGTCATCCTCCTCTTTCTTCTGACCCTAGGCTATAAGGTCTCATCAGGACTGGCTGCATTGTGTTCCTCTGTGGCCTGGCAAAGCTGCTCTCCCATCAGGGGGAGGTGATTAAAGAGCCAAGCCACTGATGTCAGAGATACTTGTCCTGAG